CCGCTTGGACCGCAGCCCCGTCCCACCGTGGGCCAGAAGACCAGTGGAGGCGGCCAAAACTCTAGACGCGTTTAGAGCTCCAGAGTCGCTAAACAGGGCTCGAGCCGACCGTGTGACCCCACCAATGGACTGCTCTCCGATCGAGCAATCCATTGGTGGGGTCACACGTTCGGTTCGCGTCTCATTTAGCGACTCTGGAGCTCAAAACGCGTTCAGAGTTTCGGCCGCCTCCGCCGGTGTTCTGGCTGCTCCACTGTGCGTCCTGACCCCGCTCGCCCTGCTGCAGGTGATGAACCACTGGACGGCCGGCTGGATCGACTGGAACCTGGCGCTGAACCTGCAGGGCGGCCCCACCTGGGCCAAGAACTGGGTGGACGCGCCGATCATCGTGGACGCCAGCAAGGGCGAGTTCTACCTCAACCCGACGTACTACGCGCTGGCGCACGTCTCCAAGTTCGTGCGCAGGGACTCGGTGCGCGTCGAGCTGCACCACCACGGCGGCGGCCTGCTGGAGGCCAAGGTGGACAGCATCGCCTTCGAGCGGCCCGACGGCGCGCTGGTCGTCGTGCTCATCAACAAGCACAACAGCGAGCACAGCGTCAGCATCCAGGAGGGCGACCGCGGCCAGGTCGACGTGCACGTCCCCGCCAGGTCCTTCGTCACGGTCATCTACTGGTAGCGGCGTCGCCGGCTTCACCCACGGCCCCACCACCCTCAACGCTCAACGACGGCGTGTCCGCGACCTGGGCGTCCTGGACCGCGCCGCCAACCAGATTCCATCCAAACACGGCCAAGCGGCTCCTTGAGTCCATCATGTGCTGTGCCTTTAAATAGAGACTTTCCCAAAGCCAAAGTAACGATTCGTTTCTCGTCCCTGACCCAAAGAGGCTCGGATAGGATCCGGAGGGAGCATTGGGCGGCCTGCTCGGTTTGACCCTACCTAACGGTGACATGAGGTAACAGTGCACCTTGGCGGCCAGGCCGCTGGCCGGGCGCGGCGCGAGGGCTGGGATTCCTCGTTCGGAGAGCAATACATTGGTGGGGTCACACGTTCTGTTCGAGTCACATTCAGCGACTCTGGAGGGAGCGTTCACAACAGGGGTCCGGAACGGAGCCTTCTCCGTTCCAAAATCCACGAGTTCCCCGTTACGTTCCGGATCCGAATGCGGAACTCGTTGTATTCTTTTGGAACCGCTCCGGCAATGGATCCACCTTCCACCTGACTCTGTACCACTCGAACCCGGTCTGCGGACCATTAAGATCTCCGTTCCGCGCTCGGACCCGTTCCACGGACCAGATCACTCTGTTCCACTCGGACCGGACCCGATCTGCGGACGAATAAGACGAGTCCGTTCCGCTCGATTTGATCGACCTGTTGATTACGGAAGACTAAATACAGGGCATCCGCTTTCTGCTCTTCAAAATACAAATCTTATTTGAGTCAAAGGCGGTGAACAATGCCATCGTGATGTCAGACGATGCGACCGCCTCGTCTGAGCCATCGTTGACTACTCATGCCAGCGGGCGACCCCGCGGGGCGCACCTGCGTGATGTTCATCAGAGCGCTCAGACCAGGCAAAGTGGCTAAGTACCTCAAAACGCGAGGGTAGCGCCGCGAAACGACACTAGCGCCATCTAGCGGGCCGCCAAGAACGGGGAGAATCCGACAAAATGACTTGGTAGAGCGACAGCCAGCCGTCGCAAATCCATCGGAAGCTGCACGACGTTGCCGTGCTGCTGGGAGAAGCGGCAACACTGCCCGTGAAAATGAAGTGGAACGTGGATCAAACGCGGAACGGGCCAGTTCCGCCGACTGTTCCGGAACACGGAACCGGAACCGTGGTTGCACTCGTTCCGGAACGGCGAAATGGAACGACAGCCCCGTTCCTACATATGAGCGTTCCATTTGGAACCGAGCGGTTCTCGCTCCGCTGTGGAACGGAACCACACAGCGATTGCAACGTGTCGTTCGATCACGGAACGTGGAACGGAACTCGAGAAGCCCCGTTCTGGACCCCTGCCAGATGGAACACAATTTTGTTACCTTGCAGGGTAAATAGAGACACCTCTTTTCGCTTGAAACATGAGGCCAAACATACTCCACTGTTAATAATTTCAAGTAATAATGATTTTAACTCGAATTTGATTTACTATCTGACCGGCATCTATGCTCTTCGTTTAGTGTTTTCATGTGACAGGCACAACTCATGACTTCTTATACATTTTCCAGCTCTCTTTAGTGACACCCATTTTTCTCCCCTCCAGATTTTATATCATCTCCATTATAGTTGCCAATCATCTTTAAAATGAGTGAAAAGAACTTTAAAAGCTCCAACCCTGCCTAAATGAGTTAATTCTCCATACTTCTTTAACATTTCTTTCTTTTGTCTCTTATTACCCCGGATATTACCCCAATATGGGACGGCATTCCGAGGGTTATTGAAAAGTCCCTACTGCACCTAAAAATCTGAAATTTGGTGGGAGTGTAGCCAAAGGGTCAATGAACAAGTGATGAACACCTCAGTACCCGAAAAAGAAATTGAAAAGAGGAAATTCACAAAAAACCTCGAAATTTGTCTCATATTACCCCGTTCTACGGTAGTACACGCCAACCCAGAGTGTACATGCCAGGTATGCTCCACCTTGGAGTGTACTATGTACACACTTGAGTTTGTAGAGTAAACGAGATGGTTTTATGAGGCCAACATTTTACTTTTACCTGGTTTTCTCAAAATCAAACTGCGCTCCCTTGCCATAAGTCTGCCTGCCGTGAAATGTCTTCCGAGACTTATGAAAATAAATCTGGAGGTTCAGACCTTCTTCTAACACCCGCATGAAGTCGCTGCGGTTCCTCTATCCCCAAGAAATTTGAAATAGACCCAAGTGCCCCATGGACCAATGGCCTAACTCGGTATGAGCAACATAGCTTGCGTTCGTCGTTTGTTGTATTTGTTGCTGCCGGTGCTCTTTCATACGTGACAAAATGTCACGTTCGTTTGAGCATTGTGTCACATTCGTTTGGGTGTGAATTGGCCCATTATCAGCTTGTTCACATTCAAACAAACGTGACACATTGCTCAAACGAACGTGACATTTTGTCACGTTCGTTTCAACGTGATGTCACGTTCCTGCAATGAGAGTGTTAACGACAATCACATGTCAAATGCGCGGGTCTTCAAGGGTCCAATACTGCGTTCCTTTGTTAATGGACGTCCCCTTGCCATGTAGACGGTTTGTGCTACAAACTGCTGCTATGGCACTTACCGTAAACCGGGGTGACTGAGACAGCAAGGGTAACTTAAGACACTTCTGCTTTTCCACCTTTTAGGAGGTGCCACCTAGCTCGGCATATCCGGAGGTCAAAACTACCCTAGCACGTGTTTCATACTTCTTTGGAAAGACGATTAAGCGCTTGAACGGCGGTTCAGGACCAGGCTGATCAGTTTCATAACGATTTTTCAATTTTAAGAACTTTAACAAGGTCTCCGTCGTACGTCTAACTTGTTGCGTGCTGGGGGGCCCCGCCCCCCAGACCCCCCTTTATTTTAGATAGAGTTGCGTCATGAACAGATAACCTGACCTTGACCCTTGTAACTTTTTCACTTGTCGAGGATTTCGCGTGTGCTGAGCCAAGGACATACCTAAAAAGTGTGCAAAATCTCACCGAGATCGGCCGAGCCGTTCAGGAGGAGTAGTGCGGACACACAGACACACAGACAGACAGACAGAAAAAACTTTTCAACCCCACCGGAGTAACAGGCTTCGCTATCGCTCAGCCAACAATTTTAGAGGAGTGTTACGAGTTTCCCATGGTACTCATAACAAGTCTTGTTGAGACTCAAATGACTGTAGTATTATCTCTCAGCCCTATTATTTCAACATTCTAAATGTAGAATTGGTTTTGAGGGGAAGCCATCACTCATCGGGCAATATTAACTTTTTTTTAGAAAATGGCAACTGTACGGGGTAACTTGAGACACCAAGTTTCATTGAATTTGACGGAAGTTGAGGGGCGTAACACCCGTTTATAAAAACTCACCTCCGTTTTAACATCATAGTCAAGCCGCTTGTCGGGAACAATTTTTTCAGACAGTGTAGAGGGTCCCAAGTTGATATGCAGCTTAAAGTTAGAGTGTTTTCTCAACTACGAACGGACCTCATGAGACACAATAAATCTTAAGGTCTCTAAAGATGGGTAATTAAATAACCTTCCCAGCGAGCTTAATATCATTGAGATCGGACGACTTTCAGACCAAGACCCGTCGATGGTGATAATTAAAATTATGCCCTTTAAGGGTGAAAACGACTTACGCCCTCGGAGCGGCGTGAATCGTTAGTGCCTTTTGGCTGGGCATTAAAATTTTGCTTAAAATTCCTACATTATTAACGCCCTTTCGAAGGGTATAAAAGGACTTACGCCCCTTGAAGGGCGTAAAAGAGTGTTTATGCTCTAAAGGGCATAATTTTTATGCCTTTGTATTACCAGTGGAGTATTCTGAATAAGTTTAGAGAATTGATTAAGACTGTATGCCTTTGCAGGAATGGATTTCTGTACGTAGAAAATGAGAAAGATGTCTTAACAGGTGTCAGGGTCCGATGTGACATGAGAAAATCGTTGTGCTTCTTAAGCGCCGTTATCCCTCAAACTACCGAACATAATTTTGTTGAAAACATCTTAATATGAGCTTCAAAAATCTTTTAATATGTTCTACACCTAGTCCTTTTCATTAAAAATAAGATAAATGTCTCAGAAAATCAGTGTCGACCGGCACAAAACCCACTTCCGTTGAAAAGCAATGTAAAATAGGTGTGTCTTAAGTTACCCCAAATAACAGGGTAACTTTAGACAACTTTAGAGGCGCATGACTCTCATTTTAGGTGCCCCCACAAATTCCTGGAGGCCAAACCGATTGTAGTCATGTGAAATACAACATAGCTAGGATGCGGGTAGATGAAAGAAGTTTTGTAGACACACGGTCCAAAACACGTGAAATATTGTCACAAGTAACCCTGGTTTACGGTATGCCCTTTGCACATTGAACCCCCTACATGGTCTTCACGTGACTATGTAAAAAGAATAATGAGTACTGACATCGAACACGAAACCCGAACGAAATGGGGCAACTTTCCAGAAAAAACAGCAATATTTTGTACTTATAGACGTTTTCGGACGCCGCCATCTTAGCAACTAAACCCTTCCACATTAGACCCCGTATATTCCTAAATCGTGGAAATTTACGAAGATTGACAAGAACTGCCATTGGACGTGAATCACGAGCAAAAGGAGCAGAAAACCGTTTCAAAACACGGATTTTTGGTGTATTTTGACGTTTTTGTACGCCATCTTGGCATTTAGGCCCCTGAAAAATGTGGAGATGGTTGGAAATGGTTACACAAAGTGTGCTTCATATTATTTTACCCCTTAACTACAGCGACGCTTGTGCGTACCTCGATATTTCAGAAAAATACGATTTCAAGAAATCCTAGGAGTCACGAAGTCAATTTGGGTAGGAGTGTGGGGAAAGCAAAAAAGTTGTGTAAAAGGGATGGGGGGGGGCTCAGGGGTGGCTACGAATGGCAGTGGTACCAATGTGGTCGATGTGCCACCCGTCAAAATAGACACTTCCACCAGAACGCCGAGTGAAGAACAAGAGGAAGAAATGGTACCGGAACCAGTTC